AGGCGGTCCACTAAGCGCTGAAAGGTAGCTGGGGCATTTTTCATCCCGAAAGGCATGACCTTGAACTGGTACAAGCCAAACGGGGTGACAAACGTCGACTTAGGGATAGCGTCCTTGGCCAGGGGGATCTGCCAGTACCCTTTGCACAAATCGATGGTGGTCAGATAGCGTCCCCTAGCAATACGATCTAATAGTTCGTCTACTCGGAGCATGGGGTATGCGTCTGTCACAGTTCTGTCGTTAAGGCGTCGGTAGTCGACACAAAATCGGGTCGTTCCGTCCTTTTTGGGGACTAGGACGACTGGGGATGCCCAGGGGCTGTCGGAGGGTTCTATAACTCCTAGCTTTAACATTTCCTGAATCTCCTTTCTCATCTCCTCTTTTACGGCTTCGGGAATTCTATAGGGAGTCTGTCGGAGAGGGTTTTGTCCTGGGGTCTCTACGTAATGTGTCGCTAAGGGTGTGTAACCGGGTTCCTGGGAAAACGTCAATCTTTTTGCAGCTAGCATCTGCTGGAGTTGCTCTCTTTCGGTGGGCGTTAGTCGCTCCCCTAGCTGTACAGTGTTCAGCAAAGTTTTAGACTCTGGGTTAGCTAGTAGATCCGGGATGGGGAGACTGTCCGGGTCCTCAGTGGCTGGGATACATATGGCTGCTATGTCTTCGGGCCTTTCCTGGTACTCTTTCAGTAAGTTTATATGGAAGGACTTCTGTATCCTCTCGTCCTTGCTACTGGCAATTACATAGGTGGTGTCACAGATCTGTGCGTCCACCTTGTAAGGGCCTTGCCAGGAGGTTTGTAATTTGTTCCCTTTAACGGGTCTAAGTACTAGGACTTTCTGTCCCACCTGGAAGGTTCTCAATCTCGCGCCCCGATCGTACCAATGTTTCTGTCGGTCTTGGGCCGCCTGGAGATGCTCTCGGGCCATCCTGGCTAGGTGCCCCATGCGGTCCCGCATCTCCAGTACATATGGTACGATGGGGACCCCCTCATGTTCTGTCTCTCCCTCCCAGTGCTCTCGGATCAGGTCGAGGGGGCCTCGTACCCGCCGTCCGTAGAGCAATTCGAATGTGGAGAACCCTGTGGATTCTTGCGGCACCTCTCGATATGCAAACAAGAGGTGTGGCAAGAATCGCTCCCAGTCCCTGTATTCCGCTGTAAAGGTACGCAGTAGTTGCTTTAGGGTACCATTAAAGCGTTCACAGAGACCGGTAGTTTGAGGGTGGTACGGGGAGCTAAGGAGGGATTGGACACCGCAGGCCTTCCATAACTGCTGAGTTAGGTCTGCGGTGAACTGGGTCCCTCGATCCGACAGGATTTCCCGGGGAAATCCTACTCTGGTGAAGATCCCAACTAGAGCACTGGCGACAGTGTCAGCCTGGATATTCGTCAGAGCGACGGCTTCTGGGTAGCGAGTAGCATAGTCTACTACAGTAAGAATATATTTCTTACCAGAGGGACTGGGGTTAGGTAGGGGTCCCACTAGGTCGACTGCCACCCTGCTAAATGGTTCCTCGATCACTGGCATGGGTAATAGTCGGGCTTTGGGGTGATCCCCTCTCTTTCCCACCCTCTGGCATACATCACAAGTGCTGCAGTAACGGCGCACATCTTTCGAGATCCCTGGCCAAAAGAAGGTCTGGGTGATCCGGAAGGTTGTGCGGTTACCCCCTAGATGCCCTGCCAACGGAATGTCGTGGCCAATTCGGAGAAGCTCCCACCGGTACTTTCTGGGTACCACTAATTGGCGCTTCTGCGAGGGGGCACAGTCTCTCTTCCTGCCTTCGGTCAATCTGTATAGCCTGTCCCCCTCCCATACAAAACGTTCTCGCTCGTCCCCCCTACTGTCAGCTAGTTCCCTGTACTTTTGGAGGGTGGGGTCCTGCCTAGTTTCCCTCCCAAATTCTTCTGGGGTGTCCCAAGCTATGGGTCTCTCTGTAATGTTAGTGTGGGGTGTCTGCTTGTGGCTTACCTGGGTCTCCTGACCTGTTGTAGGATCGTCCTCGATACGGGTCTGTGAGCGGGTGGTCACGGGGCAAGCACCAGCAGTAGTGGGTAAAAATGCTGAAGCTAGAGGGCCAATATCGTTGCCCAATACGACCTCGGCGGGTAAATTGTCCATGATGCCCACTGTGGTCTTTCCTGACCCGGCTCCCCAATCTAAGTGTATCCTGGCGGTGGGTAAGCGAAAAACAGCTCCCCCTGCGACACGAACAGCCACGGTACGATTCGACACATGTTCTGGTTTTACAAGGTGTTTCTGTATTAGGGTAATGGTAGCGCCAGTGTCTCTTAGGCCTTGTGCTATCTGTCCGTTCACACGCACCTCCTGACGGTGATGCTGACGATTATCTGGGGAAGCTGCTTGTATGGGGTTGGCCTCATATAATATTCCCAGGCACTCTTCAGGGCTTCCTTCAATTTCTAGGCAGTGAGCAGCCGCTGGACGTGGCGGTGTGCTCTCGGTGTTAGGTGGGCGCCTCCAGTTATTATTGGCTGATCCCAACGGGCAATACCGGGCAATATGTCCTGTGTTGCCGCAGCGATGGCACGTTACTTTGTAAGATTCCCGGGGATGGTTGTTATGCCCCTGGGGACGTGGAGGCCCTGGGGGTACTGGGGCCCGAAATTCTGTGCGTGCAGGGTAGGTTGTAGTGCGGGCCTCTGCTCTAGGGGCTGGTCGTGTGTTACTTTGGCTCACCTTCCTTGTCTCTGCATACTCATCTGCTAGTCGCGCTGCCTCAGTTAAATTGGCAGGGCGCCGATCTCTTACCCAGTCCTGTATATCTGCAGCCAGATCTTGAAAGAAATGTTCCATCAGGAACAACTGTAATATTTCTTCTCCGGTGTTAGCATTGCACCCTCGCACCCAGTGTGTTGCCACCCGTTGTATCTTGTTTGCCCATTCCATGTGGGAGTCCGCTGCCTTCTTTTTGGACTCCCGGAAGCGACGGCGATATGCTTCTGGGGTGACCGCATATCGGGTGAGTAGTGCAGCTTTCACCCGTTGATACTGCGTTATATCTTCCGTAGTAAGTGCCCGAAAAGCCTCATTTGCTTTTCCTGAGAGCTTTCCAGCCAGAATAGTAACCCATTGGTCTGGTGGTACTTGGTGTAGCGAGCATTGTCTCTCAAAGTCCGCTAAATATCCATCAATTTCTTCTTCATTCTCTACAAACGCTTTAAATGCAGTGAACGGTATTTTCCTCCCTGTAGCAGCGGGTGGGGGTGTAGGAACTGCCTGTGTAATGGGCTGTCTAGCTCTTACCAGTTCCGCTTCTTGTCCCCTCTTAGTTTGTATCTCCTCCCTTGTTTCCCGGAGCAGCTGGTTTATTAGCTCTGTGGATCTTTCTGGATACCAAGCTAATCTCCGCTGTACAATGGCAGAAATTTCATCGTCCTCGCTGACAGGTGCAAGAGGTTCTGTTACCTCCATGGACCTATCCATTTCGTCAGTTCTAGTAGGTCAGCTATCAGCTCCCTCCGTGGTCTGTTGCTGGCACTCCTACCACGACTCTCCAATAAATCCTTTAATGTGGGTCTTTTCAGCTTGGCGTACTGAGCCTCCATTCAGCACTTGTTCTCTGGATAAAAGGACCATCCCACCGCTGCCACCAATGTAACGGCTACCCGGGTAGAGTGAGGGTATCTGCCGTTGGAGACGTCCTTTTTCCCTGTAAGCTGCTGTGGAGGAGTAAGCTGGTATAATCCCATCCACGATATCCAGAGTAAGAGTCAGGTTCAGCTGTAACAGGAGCAGAATAACATTCCCAAATAATCCCCTTCCAAGAACGAGACAAGGCTACGTTTTGAAGGGTCAAGAAGATCTGAGGACTGGAACACCCAGCCTGCTTTTTATTGGGATCAGGTACACACAGGATACTCCCAGGGGGAGGATAAGAACACCCAATCATATACCTGGTAACACCCCCACGTCTCCTCCCCTCAGATAACATATAACATAATTAAAACGTACAACATTTTACCCCAGTTCTGGATGTTCCCCAAAAACAGGGGGTACAGCTTTAAATCCAGCTGGGTCGCTTGATAGCTCTCATTCAGGGGACCAACATGTCCAAAAATCAGCCCATTCGGATGAATAGTTCGGGAGATACAGAGTTCCAAAGTTTTGACCGACCGCACAGACCAACTAGCCGAAAATAGTTCCATGAGTTTTGGCCTTGCGGTCGGTCTCCGTTCGCCTGGTAAAAAGGTCTGAAATTCTTGCCATCCATTCGAATCTCGGGGTTCGCCGCAATCCCCATAGATGATTGAACATAACTACCGAGCGTCCGGTGATTCGGTAGTTTCCGTGCGAACTTCTGGAAGTATGGAGGACTCAGCGGTGTTCGCCTGTTTGCGTATCCGATTTTAGTTCCACGCGTCGACAGGCAAACACCGCTGTTCGCACGTAAGATGGCCGCGGCCACGTGTAAAGTCCCGAAATGGCGGCCACCTATACTTTACACAGGGAATTCATGCGAATCCATTCGAATGGTTGAAATGCACTAAATGTGCCGAATTCCTGCTGATTTTGGTTAGTTCACTGGCCCAGGTATACAGCATAGTTCTGTTACACTGTCCAGATCCCCAACTACCCTCACAGGGACAACAGGAAGAGGGGGTAAGTACGAATTCCCCTCCCCAGCTAACTCCTAACTTGGCCCCAGGGTTAACAGAGGAGATGTTAACCCCCACTGACTCCCATGTTCCCCTGGCTACTGAGCCGGACTATGTTCCCAGCACCCCAGCAGAAGAGCTGGCAGCTGGGCAGAGTGCAGTCGGCCTCTGCCCTCCCTTTGTCCCTTGTCCAGAGCCTGATGTCCTGCAGGCTATACCAGCGGAAGAGCTGGCAGCTGGGCAGAGTGCAGTCAGCCTCTGCCCTCCCTTTGTCCCTTGTCCAGAGCCTGATGTCCTGCAGGCTATACCAGCGGAAGAGCTGGCAGCTGGGCAGAGGGCAGTCGGCCTCTGCCCTCCCTGTGTCCCTTGTACAGAGCGTGACATTCTGCCGGCTACCCCAGCGGAAGAGCTGACATCAGGGCAGAGCGCCGCTGGCCTCTGCCCTACCGACCCCCTTGTTACAGGACTGGTCTGCAACCCCCTCTCCCCAGCAGAAGTGCAGGCATCAGGGCAGAGCGCTGCTGGCCTCTGCCCCTCAAGTCCCCACAGCGTGTTGCCCCATCACCCCAGAGGAATACCCAGGTGCAGTCACTGTTTGCTGTGGGTGGGCTGCTCTAATAACTGTTTGTTGTGGGTGGGCTACTCTGGCACTTGCGTATGGTCGGTGGGTGAATCGACTAACTTAGGCACTGACCGACAGAAAGTCAGGTGCCTGGTTAGTCTTCCCCCCGAAGGGGAGATATGTGACGAAGTGCCCTTCGCCACTTGGTACTGGAGAGGCCTGCTTGCCAGCCTCCTCCCCTGTGACTATGACTCTTTGATGTATTTGCCTTTAAAGCCCCTATTCTACCTTCAGACAGACTATTTATGTAGGCTGCTTTATTTATCTTATGTTTTAGTCACCCTGTACCCATTATAGGTGCAGGGTGTGTGTAATGTAATTGTTTATAGTGTGTGTGTGTGTACTGTGAAATGTATTGCCTTCTCTCCTGTACTGCTGAGGTTTGCTACCAACTAGGTGGGTTTGGCTATGGAGCTGGTCTAGTGCCCTCTGTTGGTAGCAACAGCAATATGCACTACCTGAATTGCAAGACTGGTTCATTTGCATATTCGGGTAGATTTGCATATTGCTAATTCTGCAGGCAGGTGAGATATTTACTGTTAAATATTGTCTCCCCCCACCCCTTTAAAAATCTGCCATTGTGTTGTGATAAGTCACTGTGTGTTTCTTGATATGGTTTGACTGTTTGTGATTTTATTGAGGTTTCACAACAATGTTATTGTGGTGACTGTATTGGCTGGTCCCAAGGGAATAAAGGTTTTGACAGTTCTTCTTGATCCCTCTAAACGTAGCCTTGTCTCGTTATTGGAGGGAGCTGTTATAATCACACTGGGGATTGCTATGCTCTGCATGCTCCCCTGAGCTTGAGTCACTTCGCTCTTTTAAGAGCTTGTTCCTGACACGCTCTCCTTGGAGGAGGGGTCTTCACCACACAGTCCTGGATGCTGTAGGTTCATACAGGGTGGAAGGAAGAGTTCTTTCCCACACAGTCCTGGAGGACAGAAGCTGATCCAGGGTGGAAGGAAGACGGCGAGACTCCAGTCAAGATACGGCGGTTGTGGAGTCTGCGGTGGTTGTGGTGTCTGCTGCAGTGCTTGGAGTCCTCAGGAAGCGCTAGGAGCATCCGTCAACGGAGGGTACTCAGTCGGAGTACAGAGAGCTCCGTTATAGATAGCTCTTATCTGGGTGAACAACGCTGCCCTGTGTTCGTTCATACGAACGCCGACCACCCAGCCGTTTGACAATTAAGCTGCGGTTAACCACAGCTTATGTGTGGTTAACAAGCCACACCCTCCACATGCAGGGTGGTCGGTCATTCGGTAGTTTGTTCGTCTGTTTCCACAATATTATCCTCGCTGTCATAGATGTGTAATTCGCCAAACCAATATATCAGGGAGAGTTTAACATCCAAGCAATATGAAATCCTGGGACATAAAGGTCTTTCACAAGTGCCTCTAAACTCAATAAGTCACCGGGACCATAATCACAGGGCAAGAGGCTGGCAAGCAGGCCTCTCCAAAACCAAGTGGTGAGGTCCCTTTCCCCACACATGGGTACTATATAGATAGAGAGATGTGTATGGGCTGGCCTCTTTACCCGCCTTGTTGCAGACACAGATTCTTGTAAGAAAATAAAAATAAAGGAACTCTGCATTGTTTACTTAAGCCACATTTGTTTGGTCATTGAATAGAGTTTGAGAAACAAAAATGCCTGAGCTTTGCATTTTTGTTACAAAATGGAGTCACATCTGCTAAGTGGTGACTTATATTATACATTTTTAATTTCTATCTTATCTGTCAGTATAAATATCTGACACAATCAATAAGATACTTCATAGTCCCAGTTCTGATTATTTTTCCTAAATATGGTAAGCTTAAATAACTTACAGCAACAGATTTTCTTTAACTCCCAGTACATTTCTTTCAGATTTTTCCAGCAGTAAAAGTTATCAAGAAGGAACTGAAAAGAACAGAAATACAGTAAGCAAGACTATGAAGAAATCATTCAATACAAGAACCAAAAATTCCAACTCTAAAAACTCAAGAAATCTTTTACAATCGAATATGTCTACAGATAAAATAGTAAAGAGAAAATCAAAGCTTTTCCCCTGTACTGAATGTGAAAAATGTTATAACAATCACTCAAGTCTTGTTGTGCACATGAGAACTCACACAGGGGAGAAACCGTTCTCATGTACGGAATGTGGAAAATGTTTTATCTGTAAATCACATCTTGTTAGACACAAGAGAACTCACACAGGAGAGAAACCGTTCTCATGTATGGAATGTGGAAAATGTTTTATCTTTAAATCTCAACTTGTTGTGCACAAGAGAACTCACACAGGAGAGAAACCGTTCTCATGTATGGAATGTGGAAAATGTTTTATCTATAAATCTCAACTTGTTGTGCACATGAGAACTCACACAGGAGAGAAACTGTTCTCATGTTCAGAATGTGAAAAATATTTTGTCTGTAACTCCGTTCTTGTTATCCATCAGAGAATTCACACAGGAGAGAAACCATTCTCATGTTCAGAATGTGGGAAATGTTTTAGCAGTCGCTCAACTCTTGTTTTGCACAAGAGAACTCACACAGGAGAGAAACCGTTCTCATGTACGGAATGTGGAAAATGTTTTTTCTGTAAGTCACATCTTGTTGAGCACAAGAGAATTCACACAGGAGAGAAACCGTTCTCATGTACGGAATGTGGAAAATGTTTTGGCAGTAAATCAAGTCTTGTTGAACACCAGAGAATTCACACAGGAGAGAAACCTTTCTCATGTTCAGAATGTGGGAAATGTTTTGGCAGTAAATCAAGTCTTGTTGAACACCAGAGAATTCACACAGGAGAGAAACCTTTCTCATGTTCAGAATGTGGGAAATGTTTAAGCAGTAAATCAAGTCTTGTTGAACACCAGAGAATTCACACAGGAGAGAAACCTTTCTCGTGTTCAGAATGTGGGAAATGTTTTGTTAGTAAATCAGATCTTAACAAACACCAGAGAACTCACACAGGAGAGAAACCGTTCTCATGTACGGAATGTGGAAAATGTTTTATCCGTAAATCACAACTTGTAAGCCACACCATAACTCACACAGGAGAGAAACCGTTCTCATGTTCTGACTGTGGGAAATGTTTTGTTAGTAAATCAGAGTTTAACAAACATCAGAGAACTCACACAGGAGAGAAGCCTTTCTCGTGTTCAGAATGTGGGAAATGTTTAAGCAGTAAATCAAGTCTTGTAGAACATCAGAGAAGTCACACAGGAAAGAAACCTTTCTCGTGTTCAGAATGTGGGAAATGTTTTGTTAGTAAATCAGCGCTTAACAAACACCAGCGAACTCACACAGGAGAGAAGCCTTTCTCGTGTTCTGAATGTGGGAAATGTTTAAGCAGTAAATCACGTCTTGTTGAACACCAGAGAATTCACACAGGAGAGAAACCGTTCTCATGTTCTGAATGTGGGAAATGTTTTAGCAGTAAATCATGTCTTGTTGTACACCAGAGAATTCACACAGGAGAGAAACCGTTCTCATGTTCTGAATGTGGGAAATGTTTTAGCAGTAAATCACATCTTGTTGAACACCACAGAATTCACACAGGAGAGAAACCGTTCTCATGTTCAGAATGTGGGAAATGTTTAAGCAGTAAATCAAGTCTTGTTGAACACCAGAGAATTCACACAGGAGAGAAACCTTTCTCGTGTTCAGAATGTGGGAAATGTTTTGTTAGTAAATCAGATCTTAACAAACACCAGAGAACTCACACAGGAGAGGAGAAACCTTTCTCATGTTCTGAATGTGGGAAATGTTTTAGCACTAAATCATGTCTTGTTGAACACCAGAGAACACACACAGGAGAGAAACCGTTCTCATGTACGGAATGTGGAAAATGTTTTAACCGTAAATCACATCTTGTTGAACACCAGAGAACACACACAGGAGAGAAACCGTTTTTATGTATGGAATGCGGAAAATCTTTTAGCCATAAATCAATACTTGTAAGCCACAACAGAACTCACACAGGAGAGAAACCGTTCTCATGTTCTGAATGTGGGAAATGTTTTAGCAGTAAACCAAGTCTTGTTGAACACCAGAGAATTCATACAGGAGAGTAACCTTTCTCATGTTCAGAATATGGGAAATGTTTTAGCCTGCATTCGTGTCTTGTTGATCACCAGAGAACTCACACAGAAGAGAAACCGTTCTCATGTACGGAATGTGGAAAATATTTTATCCGTAATTCACATCTTGTAAGACACAACAGAACTCACACAAGAGAGAAACCTTTCTCATGTTCAGAATGTGGGAAATGTTTTGGTTTTAAATCAGATCTTGTTGCTCACAAGAGAGCTCACACAGGTTTATTGTCACGTTAACCACCATTGTGCCCTTATTGCTTTTAATAGATTGAAGAAATACAAACATAAAAAAAACACTTTTAAACTAACTTCTCATTTTTAAAGGGAATTTGTTTCTTGGAATGAACAGAACAGATCTATTTAGCAGTTTTTTCATTCACTTTTGTCGATGAGTAAAAGATTTTTCAAGTGAAAATAAAAAACATGTATTTTTTTCAATTTTTTTATCATATTTTTTTTTAAATTAAATTACATGAGATTAAATAAATAATGCTATATAAAGAAAGCCCATTTTGTCCTAAAAAAAAACAAAAAACAATATATAATTTGTATGGGAACATTAAATGAGAGAGAGGAAAATTACAACTAAACACAAACACCACAAAAGTATAAAAAGAGGCCTGGTCGCAAATGTACAACATTGCAAAAACAGTCTGGTACTTAAGGGGTTAAATAAAGAATTTTAATAAAAATTGTTTGTCATATAAGTAATAACTATAAGAAATAACAAGTCATGGCTCTATCTATTTGTCAAGTTTTAGTCTAAATAATAACAAATCATGTCATAAAAAATGTTAATATTTTAGATGCACCACTAGTATTCATAAAAAGGAGAGTTAAGGTGGATTTAACCTATTCCCTTGCCCAGGATGTAGACCAGCAGCTATCATTTTCTACATGGGCTGGGGTCATTTTCGAGTTATACTGTATGTTTGTATTGTACTGTAATTCAATGTTACTGCTAAAATTTGTTATAGTTTGTTACTATATTTTCTTTTGTAGTAAATTGATGTTTAATATTAAACATTTTTTTGTATATTGTATGGACATACTTGACCATAATATCAAGTGTTACAGTTGCCTCCAGGCTGGCTGGAGGTTGGACCATAGAAAGGATGCTCCTAGTGCTCACCAAAGGACCATTAGCACCATAAATACCATAACTACTGCGTAGACACCATAAGTATTGCAGACTCCACGAACCGCTGCTGCTGGGCTAGGATCTCACCGTCTGCTATTCAACCTGGACCTACGACCAGGTTCCAGTAGGTGAACCGCTTCCTTCTGTAGAGCAAAGCTGAATCGGGAACAAGAGCTCAGTAGCTAAGGGAGTATGAAGAGCACAGCAATCAAGATATCAGTGCTTAGTATATATTCCCTTATAGTCCAAAAGAGGGAAACCGCTTAAACTGCAGCATTATTACAATAAATGTTAGAGTTCTAATGTCAATTAATGGAAGGATATGTCCACATATAATCTGGAATTTTAACTGTTTGCCAAATCTTGTAGTTGAAGTCTGTGTCCTTCAGTGTAACTTTATGTCCCACTTTAAATCAAAAAGACACTGACATAGCGTAATACTTTTAGAAAATGTATTCCTTTTTGATACATAAAAAAACCCCATAAGAGAAACCCTTACATGATCTTGTGGTGGAAAGCATGAGTGTTACAATGTACAAGCCAGAGTTGATGTTGTTACCACTCCATTGATAGTTGCCTGCACACTGGTCCTGTGCACTCGGACCGATGTCTACCCTGGAGCGCCGGCTGTCATGTACTGCTGTACTTGCCTTCACAAATTCAAATACAGAAATCCCGCCAAACATGATCTACGCGTTTTGCCCGTTAGATCGGGCTTTTTCAATCTAATTATATTTCTCAGGTGTATAACATATTCTTAATTGTCTACTCATATGAGACTTAAAAAAAATACATATGATCAATGTAATTTTGCTCAATAAATTCATTGATGACTAAATAGTAAACTCCATATATTCTTGTTCATAGCGGAACTCTTATTTCTAGCTTTTATTTGGCTTATAAGTTAAACAGCTTTTTTTAAAGGATGGTTGCTTTTGAATATCTAGAAATACTTCATCTATTACAAAGCCCGTTCTCATAGTAATTTAAATGAACATCAGGAAGGTCGCTTTTGTAGTTGTTCCAATGCTTTTAACCCTTCATAGGCCAAATCTTTATCTTACATTTTCATTTGCAGTAATTGAATTATAGGTGCTTGTTATTTCTACATAAGAATACACCAAGTTAAGACTGAAATATAGGTTCTACTATGATCTTGTACAGTACATATCACATAAAGAGGTAATGACATAAATTACAAATGGAAAATTCATCAATTATAGTCATTATAACAAGAAGGATCGCAAAAAAAAATAATTAAACTGACAAATTATGATAAAACTTTGATATTAAAAAATCATTGAACAGAAATATATTTTTTTTTCCACTTCATTGTGAACTCCTATGTTTTATGTTTAATTCCATAGGAAAAAAACATATCCATGTCCTAATCATATAGAATGGACATAAAAATAAAAAGAAAATGAACATAAAATGAAGTTAAAAAGAAGATAGAGACATTATCTCAATGAATATCTTCTCTCCATTTAAAGACATGCCCACTTACAACTCATGAGTTTATTTGGAAATATAAAACAGATTTCTAAATAGATTCTAGTCTATATCGGATAATCAGCTAAAAAAGAATACATAACTTCAAATACCTATCCAAAAACGTCCATGGTTAAAAACAAAAGAATGCTATAAAATGCTGGTTGTTACGGTTACCCTCAGGCTAGCTGGAAGCTGGAACGCTTGGACGGTCTGGATCCCAAAGGCAGAGGAGGAGAGTCGCTTCGGTAGTTATTCCATACGAATCCTGTAAATGTAGAGCAATCCCACTAGCTATCATGCAGCTAGGATACCCTTTTCCCCACAAAACGAGTCGAGGCTGCCATTTGAGGGTCAAGCAAGGGTCAAGCAAGAACTGGCTTTAATGACACACAGGGGACCGTCTTTATGCAAACTCTCAGGCCCAGGGACAGCCCCCTCTGTCTCCAAGCACTCTGCCCGACACCATAACCACTGCAGACCCCACGAACCGCCGCAGCTTGGTCGGGGTCTCGCCGTCTCCACCCACTCTGGACCCAAGACCAGGGTCCAGCTTCCAGTAGGTTGACCTCTCCAAATTCCAGAGAGCAGGAACAGGAACAAGCTCTTAGCAGAGCTTAGTGATTATACCCTGGGGAGTATAGTGATTATAGCAATCCCCAGAGTGTAGTTCTCTAATTCCCATAAACATGAGCTGAAACTTCATGAAGGTACAAGATGATCTCAGCTTTTAATGACCACATACTGGCTTTTATGCAAGTCCCCATGCAAGGGGACATCCCACAGGGAGGGACACAGTACAACCAATCGCACAATGGTTACATCCCACACATCTCCTCCCCTTAGCCTGAGAGGTAACCCAATTATCCATACATTTTAAAACACATTTTTTACCCAACTTTCATAACTCTAAAACCATACATCCAATAGTAATAAAAGTCACATATTATTAATCAGCACATCCCAAATACAAACATACCCAAAAATCATGCAAATCCTTCAATTGGTTCAAAAGTTAGTCAAAATCCTTTGTGACCAAATGAAGCATGGTTTTTCTGCCCAAAACCAGTTCCACAGAGTCTTCTATCCTGGAGACAATTGGGAAGTAATCCAATTATCTCCCAGGACAGAGGCAAAACTCCATTGAACACATGGTTGCAAAAAGACATAAAATTACACAATGTTACAATTACTACATAAAACATATACATGCAACATATCCCCAGATAGCTTGGATCTGAGCGCACATTATTACGAAATGGCGCTCAGATCACATACATACAGTTCAATCGCAATGGAGCCAAAGTCTTTTCCATAGTCTTTTGTTACACAAATAGGCTCCATGGCATAGCTATCTGGGATAGCACTACTATCGCACTGAAAGTCCAGAACGCCCCGGCAGAAATACACAAATAAACCTTTCTGCAGGGGAAAATTAAGCGTTTCAACATGGGGCCATAGTCATGAGGCAGGAGGCTGGCACTCAGGCTCCTCCAACAGCCAGGGGCAAAGGGCAGCTTGTCACCTAAAAATCCAGTGACAAAAGGCATTTCGTCACACCAATAGTTTGTAACACTGGTAATTTCAAATTCCGCATTCAGCCCTAATGGGGCTAGTGTTCTCAAACTGTAGATCCAATAAGTTTCTTTATATATCAGGCTTTTTGTTAGATCCCCTCCTCTCCATGACACACTCTGTCATGGCACTTTAAAACGCACCATGACAGTAACCCAGTATCTCTAACATATTGCGGAATTCAACAGGTTAAGGTCCCCATGTAGTATATCTGGCAGCTTTTTATTATTTATATATCAAGTGCAGTGAGCACTGATTACTTATTATTGATTTTACGTTTTTTGCGCTCTCTTATCCTTTTTTAATCTCTGCTGAAACTAAAACACTGAAATAAAAGCGATTTGTGGCAGAATGTACTGCTCATTTAGTGTGTTTCACTTTTTATACGTTGTGACGGACCGCCAGACACCCCGACTTGGTACCTCCGTCAATCGTTGCTGACTGACCCGTGCGTGCTGCAGCTGAAACGCCACTGTCGCCTGCTGCTGCTCACACAGTCTCTACAGCATGTGCAAGGTGGAGTTCCATATGAGGCGGTGAGCGGGAAGGCTGAAGTGCAGACAGGCGAGCAGCAGCAGGGTGAGAACACCGAAAGCGTGAACAGACGACCTGCACTTTCTGTAGCAGCTCTGATATGGATGTGCGTCAAACCGGCTAGGCCCAAAGCTGCTATGAGATTTCACCCATTATTGCACACCGCCAGGCCAGGCTTGAGGCTCAGTGGCAACAACCACTCATCGGTCTGTTGTTCCATGCCTGTCCACAGCTCCTGAGTGGTGTGGGGTTTTTCCCCCAAACATATCAGTTTTAAAACAGCCTGCTGCCGTTTTCCACCTTCCTGTGCTGACGTTGGTGGTGAAGGTGTTATGCTGACCGGATGAAGAGGTGGTAGAGGAGGAGGAGGCAACAGGAGGCAAAGAGAAATGCCCTGCAATCCTCGGTGGCGGAAGGACATGCGCCACACTGCTATCCGCCACAGGTCCAGCCGCCACTATATTTGCCCAGTATGCAGTTAGGGAGATATAGTGTCACTGTCCGTGCTAACTTGTCCATGTATCAGTGATTATGTGGACCTTGCCACAGATGGCATTGCGCAGTGCACAACTGATTTTGTCCGCCACTTGGTTGTGCAGGGAAGGGATGGCTCGCCTGGAAAAGAAGTGGCAGCTGGGAACCACGTACTGTGGGACAGCCACCGCCATCAGGTTTTTAAAACTGTCTGTCTCCACCAGACGGAATGACAGTATTTCAAAGGCCACAAATTTTGAAATGCTGGCATTCAGGGCCAGGGATCGCAGGATGGTAAGGGGGTACTGCCTCTTTGTCTCCAGTGTTTGGGAGATGGACAGCTGAACGCTTCCATGGGACAGTGTGGAGATGCTTGGGGACGGTGGCGGACGTGGTGGCATTGCTGCCGCATCCTCTATTTGCGGGATGGAGGAAGAGGTGGAGGAAGAGGCCGAGACAACAGCAGAAGAGGAAGCAGGAGGAGCCTGAGACCTTTCTTGGTTTTTGAGGTGCTTACTCCACTGTAGATGCCTGGTCATGCAGGTTGTGCTCAGGTTTAGAATGTTTATGCCTTGCTTCAGGCTCTGATTGCACAGTGTGCAAACCACTCGTGTCTTGTCGTCAGCACATTGTGTGAAGAACTGCCTTGCCAGGGGACTCCTTGGAGCTGGCTTTGGTGTGCTCGGTCCCTGGGTGTGGTGGGCAGTATCAGGTGTACTGTCTAGGGGACGGCCGCTCGACTTTTGCACCCTGCTCCCTCTTATGTTGTGCTGGTGCCTCTGTGCGACCACCGCCCCTTCCTCCACACTGTACACCTCACTCGCACGACCTTGATTCCATGTGGGGTCTAGGACCTCATCATCCTCTACATCATCTTCCACCCACTCCTCAACCCTGCCCTCCTGGCCGGTCTGCACACTGCAGAAAACCACAGCAGTTGGCACCTGTGTTTCATCATCATCAGAGATGTGCTGCGGTGGTCCTCGCATGTCCACACCCTGAAACATAAGTGGTTGTGCATCAGTGCACTCAATTTCTTCCACTTCTGGGGCAGGGCTAGGTGGATGGCCCATGGAAACCACGTCAACAGAGTCATCAAAAAGCGTAAGAGACTGCTGCATGACTTGTGGCCCAGACTGCTGGGATGATTTGCAAGGGGGTGAGGTGGAAGACAGATGGCCATGGGCTGCAGGTGCCAACTCTGAGCTTTCAGCAGGGGACCGGGTGGGAGACAATGTGAAGGAACTGGAGGAACTGTCAGCCATCCAGTCTACTATCGCCTGTACTTGTTCTGTCCTCACCATTCGTAGAGCGGCATTCGGGCCTACCAAATAACGCTGAAGGTTCTGTCGCCTACTCGCACCTGAGGAAGAAGTTTTACTTGTGCGTGTAGCTGGCACAGATCGACCACGTCCTCTCCCTGCAACAGGAGCTCCACCAACACCAGCAGCACCACGACCAGGGCCACGTCCCTTATTTCACCTTCTCCTCATTCTTTGCGGTCACCCACCAAACGAACAGATTGTTTATGTCAGGCGACAATGTAACCGCCAATAGTCAACAATTAAGTTCACTGATAGTAAGGCAGTGCCGGTGTTTTTAAAACTGTGATGTAACCACAGTATTTGACGGTTCTATTTGACTTTCAGATATGAAGTACACACCCCAAATGTACTATTTAGCACCAAAAAAAATAGCATTTTTAA